CTAGTTTTACACGTGAATTTGCTGGTATGCTTTTCTTTTCTTTTTTTGCAATATTCCGCAAACTTCCTGTTTTCAGTAAATAACACTCATAAAATGAACTGCGATAGTCAAATGTACAGTAGGCCAGAGAGGGTCTTTCCCACAACACGAGATAAACAAAAACCAGAACACTTTGTTCATTTTAAAACAGGCATGCTGTTATCATCAGAATCGCATGCAAAAATGTCCGACTGATGTATCTAATGTGCTTGATATTTTCTCTGAGCCTTTGAGTTTTCCCTCCCTCCTCATTTTCATGGAATCGTGGAAGGCTCCTCCCCGAGAGACTTGAAAGGCTAGAAGAGCCCAAAGATGGGAAGGCCAGCCCACTAAGGGGAGGAAAAAAGTGTGCTCAGGTTCCTCCACTGCTGTAATTTCCTATCTGCCTATTCAGACATCGCCAACTGCTTGGTGTGTGTGTGCGCGTGTACAGGAGCAGAACGGTAGACCGAGAAAGAGAGAGAGAGAGAGAGAGAGAGAGAGAGAGAGAGAGGCAGGAGGAGCAGTCGAGGAAGGGGCCGGCTCTGAATTCTCTCACCTACCCCCCGTCAAACCACAGGAAGGAGGGGCCAAGCCAAGCTGCCAATCAACCTCACTCGTGGCAGCCGGCATTATCTCTGCTACAAACTATTGACAGATTACATGTCAAGGAGTTTAGTACATGATTGAGAGCAGAAAAGACGCTTATTGTCAACTTCTTTTAGTTTTCCTTTTCTCACAGACCAGCTTACATCTGATGATTTTCAAACAGAGTTCAGTAATATTATGAAAGTTACATGCTTGACAGGATTTAACTTCGACTACCCTGAATATGGTAAGTGACCCTCCTCTCTAACCTTTCTGTGTGTGTGAATGTGAGTGTCCATAGGTGAGTGTTTTAATATAAAATATGTATTGAACAGGGAAGTTGCTCTTGTTTTAAGTGTCACGTATCGTTGCTGTGAGTTTACTGTACCTTTATTTATAACTGTGTGACAAGCTGTGAGAAGATGGCAGTGTTTAATGCGATCACTCTGTCCCTGAGTCCCCTGTTTTCTTTTCTTACTTTACTCATGCCTCTCAGGAGGGGAAGAATTTAAGTAGACTACTTTCATTTTAAACCTGGAAGTAGTCGAGTTTATTTGTTATTTAGACATGGTGTATTACTCTTACCTACAGGCATTCGGCGATGTTTGAAACTCATATATCTGTGTTTATTAAAGCAGTCATGTTTGTCTGAGGTCAGGGGATTTTTTTAGTTATTATTTTTGTGATGTTGATATAACTTTATGGAGGCACCGATGTGGCATAAACATACATAGGCATGTAAAAATATTAGTGAAGTGACTGGTGTGGCCTAGGGGTTTGTTGCCAAGGGGACTGAGTAAACAAAATGCTGTAGTAACATTGTTTTGACACATGTAAGGGCACACAGAACAGATGATATCCCTCTCCGTTTTCCTTGTTCCTCCGTTTAGGGATATTATGAAATTGATATCAGTCATACTGTCCCATCCTATTTCCTAATTTCATTACCAAATAATCTGGCTTTTGGAGCTTTAGATACTATTATAAAATTAGAAATTGCAAAATGTTCCTGAAATAAATATTGCTGTTTTAGCATAGTACGTTTAGATTGTGTGGTTTGAGTTTGTTGGATTTCTATTTCAGTTTAGTCTTAAATAGAGTTCCTGAAAAATTAAACTTATTTGTTTTATAAATAGTTTTAATTTAGGCCAGAATTGTAGTGTTTATTCACACACTTGTTTGCTTGGCTTTCGATGTGTTTTACTCGATGCTGTTTAGGTAGAGTTTTAGACGTCACTTTGACACTTATTTGATTATATATTGTGGTGTGTAACTGCTATATGTTTATTTAATTTTTAAAAATATACATTTTATATTAAATGAAAAAATAGCTACATTTTTACTTGTTCCAAAAAGTTTTGAAATAGGATTGGTTGTTCTACACACACGCACAAAAAAAAAACACGATTTGTTTTTTTAGCTTGGAAAATAAATACACACATACATTAGTGAATTTTTCCAGTGCCAAAAGTAGATTTTGTCATAACTGAGAAATTCAATCAATAATTTTAGCAAGTTATTGATATGATATCTTCATCTTTTTGCCCTCAGGCAAGAAAGATTTTTTTTCTTGACACTAATGAACACTGTTTGTTCTAAAAGATAAATATTGAAAGATGAAATTAAACTAAGTGAAAATAAATGTTATTGTGGCTTCTTTTAAAGAGCATCTCTTGAACTTTAAGAAGTGGCTTCAGATTAATTACGTCATATTTATCAGAAACTTTTTGTTTTTGTGTTTGTTTGTTTTTAAACAGGATAACAGTTTGCTTTCTGTTTTATTCTAAATGAGGCACACCCTAGATTTTTTCGAATCATTGTCATTTTGCTGCATGCCCTCTGTTCAGATGACTGGAGTTATTTTATTACTCCAGCAGGTTTTTTTTCTTCATGTCGAGCGAAAGCAGTTTTAGCCTCTGTCCACTCTGAGCACCTTTACCAGTCATCTGCAAAATAGGATCAAATGAGGAGGAAAAAACAACCCAAGGTCTGCAGCCCTCAATAACCTTTATCACAATTTAGCAACAACCGAATCAATTTGATGTCTTAAGCAATAAAAAAGGCTGTTGCTGTCCTAATTCTGCAGCTCTTCGGATGACAGTAAATTTACATTTTTTAATTAAACTAGCTGGAATTTTTATGAGGGGGCTGGGCTATGCTAATGGGAATGTTGTGTGCCGCAGATTAACAGAGTTTTGAAGTACATTTGGAAGGGGGGACATTAAAGGGGGAGAGGATGCTAGGCATCACATTTAACCCCTTTTATGCTTATTTTTCCTGAGGGACCCTCGGCACACCCGGCCGCTGAGAGAGGCAAGAGCGCTCTTTAGTGAAGGGGTGATCAGTGTTGCCATATCAACTCATGCATATTCTTTCAATTCTAATCTATAATTGATGACACGCACAGATGACAGAAGAAAGGTGAGCTCCTTTTAGAAGGACATCTGAAATGCATTTTGTACATTTTGAGTCATTTGAAACAAAAATCACTTGAATAAAAAAAAAAATGTTTTTGTTAATTTGTAGGTTTTTTTTGTACATATTAAAATATGGCAAAAAATTACATTTACTAAATTATTTTTATGTAGCTGTATTTAAATGTTGAATTCATATAGCTCATACATTTTTTTTTTTTACACAAAATGCAGCTTTATCACAGTTTAATTATCAAAGTTAGTATATAAATAGTGTAGTTTGTTATTTATAATAATCGGTGCAATCTACTGTAGATTTAACTGCTATAGTAGATGCACTTACTTGTTTCATTTTATATATGTCTGTCTTATAAATAAAAAAAAGCAAAGCAATGACAGAGAGAGGGCGACTGAGTCTAGCTTGAGTTTCCTGATCAGTCACTGGTCCCCCACCATCAAAATTAACTTTGTCATCCTAATACCCCAACAGTCCCTGAGCTCACAGTCGGGCAAACGATAACGGAGGCTAATACAGGAACGGATCAATCTCTAGGCATGTGATCGTGATGCTTATGAGGTCTCTCTTCTCTTCTCCTCTCCTCTCCTCCTGTGCATTCATGCAGACGTCGGGCAAACGATAACGGAGGCTAATACAGGAACGGATCAATCTCTAGGCATGTGATCGTGATGCTTATGAGGTCAGGTCTCTCTTCTCCTCTCCTCTCCTCCTGTGCATTCATGCAGACACCAGACCCTAATTAAAACTTCAAAACCTTTCTGTCACTTATATATATGGTCTAATTGATACTCTGCTAGAAAACCTTGTAATGATAAATCGATCACAAATATCCATAGATTTATATGCTTAAAATATGCAGCTTTTGTAATTGTATAATTTTGCTGTGTAATAAATGTAAATTATTATATATTAAATTTATTAAACAAAAAAGGTTATTTAAATAGGATAATACTAGATAAGGTTTTCCATATTAATGTAAACAAATACATCACAGTATTATGTCTTTGTGAATAAGCTGGAATATTATTTGTGTAATGATATAATTTCCAAGAATGTAATTTCCCTGGCTGTAAGCAAATCCAGTTATGAACATAGAGTTCAGGTGAGTTGTGGTATCATTTTCAGTAAAACAAAAGTCAGCTATACAAAGAGAGAAAAAAAGGTATTACTATCAAGGTACCGGTGCTTCACAGGGCTTGTGGTTTAAGTTTTGCATCTCACAAAAAAAAACAAAAAACAAAGAAGCATCTACCTCACCTTTTGCAACGAATGTGCCACACGATTGAGAATTTTATGATCCGTTTTCCCCCCTTCGGTGCAGACACAACATCGAGTGTTCTTGTTTTGGCACATATGGTTAGAAAAGTTGTGGAAAGGTCTTCCTCTACACGCAGGGCCTAGCAGAATGGCTTCATTTCACGTTTATGATCTTCCACATGAAATTCTAATTTCATGCAAAGTAGGGGAGACAAATAATCTGCAGCAGCTGATACGGCATATACGAGGGGAAAAGAAGAATATGAAGAAGCAATTAGCACAGTGTGGAAGACTTTAGTCTGTTTGTCTGAAAGCTTGAGCTCCAATGGCCTCGAATGAAATTTGCATGCTCCGCTTATCGGCGCTCCCTTATTATGCTGTCTGAAAGGAAGATTAAGCCGGTACAAAATGTGGCGACTAATCCTTTTAAATGTGGCAGGGGTCTTTAAGGTGTGAACAACCCTGTAGGCAGGTTTCAGGCAGGGTTGTTAGAGAGGCTACCGTGACCCGCTCTTGACGGCTGAGTGCAGCTACAGGCTTCAGCCACTCTGACGAGTTCCTTTAGTCTGGCAGGAGTGGAGAACGGCAGCTGGATTGCAGTTAAGGGACCGATTGGCCCGAGCTGACGGATGGGTGTCTTTAGCTCCTTATCTCGGACCTAAACACACAGGTCACATGGGGTGGGGTGGGCGATAAGATTAGAGCATTGCTTTTCCGGTGGTCTTGTGTGAAATCTCTACACCGTGTGCATGTTGCATTAATCTCTTGAAGTTTATCATGTGGAATTAGCAAATTCCTTCTCCTCTACTCAGTCATGAAAATATTCACTTATTTGCTGATTTTTTTTTTTCCTGCAAGACAATCCTAAATTTTTTTTTATTCTCCCAATGATAAGCAAGGGAAATGAACGTCTTCCCTGTTGCCTTTTTTCCTCGGAGATTGTTTGCATTAGAGAGCCACAGAGCTGATATCCTGTCCTCTCTGGTAATTGACTGCAAACAGGGGTGCTTGCGTTTGAAACCTCCCCTGCCGTGAATCCTCTGGTTGTGTGTGCTTTTGCCTGTGACATTCTATTCACTTGGGTCAGTAGCGGCAGCAGCAGCAATAATTACAGTCTGTACATGATAAATCTGAAGCCCAGCTGTTGCGTTCTGTCACAGCCTGCACACTAAACCGACCGGAGAAAGAGAACAAGAGAGAGCAAAAGGAGGCTCAGGAGTTTGCTGTTTGACTGAAATTTTTTTTTTTTTAAACTCTGTAAATTGATAGGATTACATGGTTCTTGGACCCACACCTGTTAAGAGGCTGTTAACAGAGCAGTTGGCGGTCTCATGGCTAGAGATTAGAGTTTTTTTATACTCTTCTATGTGTCCACTTTTGGGGATTTCTGCCTTTACAAGAGGAGTTTTAGGACTCAAGGCTGTTCTGTCCCAGCCCCAGACTTTTGTTAAGACCAAAGTGGGGAGGCTAAGGTGTCTCTTTGGCCTTTGTGCTAGTTCATACCCTTAGTCTGTATGAGAAACCGACTGCCTGCTCTTGCTCATTGGAACTGTCTGG